GACGATCATCCATGCCCTGGAATCTGTCCTCCAATCGTTGAATTCTCTCGTCCATGGCGGTATCCTTCTTAGGCGGCATCGTGGATCGATAGCTGGTGTCTGGATACCAACTGATGTAGAACGTGTGCTTGGGATGCTTGAGATACTCTCTCAAGACTTGTAAATAAGAGATACTTTCTTCAAGAAGAAAAATAATTTTTATTTCAACGTCGAATAAATCACATCTCATCATTCTTATCATATAAATAGAGAAAGAGTCCTACTCTTGCTTAACAAGTGCAAGAGGATTATTTATTTCCTAAACTAGGCATGATAATTAAGGATATCAAATAAATAACAATAGGAAATAAAATAACAAAAGATGATGGAAATAATAATACTAAATCTTGAGCCGGTCGAACTTGTCTAGATACGCTAAAGCGGCCTCGTCGTCATCAGAATTGAACTTTTTGCCTTGTTGTTTGAGAGCTTGATGTCGGTGTGTTTGTTCCTTGTTTATTTTCGTTATATTTAGGCTATTGTCTTGACGTTTTATGGAGCTGAAATACGATAGATTAATTGCTAAATTTGTTTTAAGGATCAGTTTTAAAGGCACGTGTAGGAGGTAAGTTTCGTAGTAGAATAGAGATGCTTATTTTGTTGGTTTCGGCCTTGTATCAAATGAAATTGTTGAGCATGTTTGTTTGTTGTTTCCGTGATGTTTACGTACTGTTATGTGTTTCAAATTTAGGAATTTTGTTCAGTTTGGTAGGCCCTCTGTTATGCTTTATTTAATCTAAGTTTGAAGGAGTTAATAGCAAGGTGGCCTTGTAGAGTTGTTGGACCGAGCCTTTGAAATCTTATGTGCCCATGACTGAATTTATGAGTAGTTTCATGTGCAGTAATTGAGCTAAATTTTCAAAGACTTGAATCAACTATCTATAGCTATTTGTGGACTTAGTGCTATAAGAGAATCAAGAGTTTTCAGTTCAAGAAGAGGAGCATGTTTTATGTAAATTGCCTTGCTTATAATTGTTATCTTGAGGCTGTTGTTACATGGTTATTTTGGAGTTCCTAAGTCATAGTTTGACCGAGCTCGGGCCAGTCAGTTATGTTCAGTTAGAAATTAGTATTTCCCGAGCCGAAGTTAGAATTTAGAGCTTAGTTGAGAGAGTTAGAAATTTATGTGCTTTTGAATGCTTAAATTATCTGCTTATATGTTTAATTGTTCTGCTCCTACTCTTGCATGTCCTTGCTTGTCTTGCCTGTTTATCACCGCCCTTAAATAATCAGATGAATTTTTAAAACGTAGATTTCGATGACCATGTAAACGATTGCTCATGTTTGATTACTTTGAATGCTTTTGTAAGGTAGACCATCGTACTCTTCTTTTCCTCGAGGTCGCGATGACACATATGTATTTACACTTGTTCTATGCTCGTTTGTGAGATGTTGGTAGCTTTCTTATGCTAGATCGCTTCAACCATTTGATTTATTAGGTCGCGATGACCACTTATTTTCGATCATTAGGTCGTAATGACCATCGAATTGTGCTAGCTATTTTGTTTGTTTAGATTGAGGTCTTGATGGTCTTGTTAAATCACGACATGATTTGATCTTTGTTCAGGTCGCGATGACCATTTAATCATACCGATGTGCTCAGTTCCTCTAGGTCGCTATGACCACTTTTGTGGGGTCTCATTGTGCCATTTATTAGATAGAAAAGATCAAGTCTAAACAAATCATGGAAAACCCTCCTCCACTCGAACCCATACTATTACCCGTTTGCCCCAAATACCATACGGTGGTTATAAACCAAATGCGGTCCTCAATCTGCAATGGGAAAATGCATTTCCCAAATTCAAATCCATGCTTGATGGATGCCATTGGACTCCTCCTCCTGGGGGAGACATTGGCTTTCGTCCTCGTCATGTCACCATTTCCTGCATACTTGGGATCCGCGCACCCGGGGTGTGAATATGGCGAACATAAATCCACCTTAGAAGGTGGATTTCCAAGATGTGGAGTATATAATTTCTACGTTTCTTAATCGGTTTATCGCCGACATCAAAGTAGGTTAATAAAATTATATTTTCTTTAAATTTTTCGTTGGCTTTTTGTTTAATCCATTGCCAATGATTCCAAAGGTTGGTCTCGTGGGAGACAAACTAACTCTCTCTGCTCCGAACGCTCTCAATGTCAACAAACTGACCGTTCCACCTGGTGAAAAACCACAACAACTGTCCTTCCCGTCATTCATGAGGTAAGTAAAATCTCTTATTTTCTCCTTTCAAGCAACAACATCTATTATTTTTATAATTTTTTTCCTTTCATTTCCACAGTATCTGTATAAAGCACAATTTTTTTCCTTTCATTTCCACATCTATTATTAAATAAAGAATGTGCACGAATGTTTAATTAGGAAAAAAATAATTTGTTTATCATAGTAAATACATTAAACTTTCATTTCAACTAAATAAATGAAAATTTTCAAATTAGTTACGAAACTTTAGTGGACGCCAATCGATTTCGTTATCCACAGCTTGGATTTGGACATGACGCCCTCTCTAACTCTAGATTTTGCCTTTTTTTCCTCTTTTCATTCAATAATAAATAAATTTTGAGAACAGTTTGGAGTTAATTAATGCACAGTTCATATATTACACTGTCCGAAGCTTCGATTTCAATACACTTAAGGTCTACCTCATATTGACAGTGATCGGCCTTTGGTTTCGCCCTCAAACTCCTCTTCTAATCGAGGATGTTCTCAAATAAAATTAACAATCAAAATACAACGATTAGAAACTTGAAAAGCCGAACAAAACATACACTCAAAAATTACAAATTATGAATTTTCAGTGCTAAAATACTATAATAATTATACGATGTGACTAATCTAAAACAGATGGCTAGAGTATATGATAGATCTATAACCTACAAGTGAAATTATGGGTTGATTCAACAAAAAATGAAAATAAAAAACAGAACAAACCTTTTGTGTAGTCGGCGATTGATTTCATCATCTTCAGTTCGAAAATAGTATGAAATAGAATATGACAACACCGAATAAATCAAATCGTTCGTCGATTCTATATATAACCAAAATAGATCTACTATAACTTCCGTATTTCACTATGAAAAGATAATTTTGGGATTTTTTTTTTTAAAAAAAAATTCAGACAAAACCCGAAATGGATGGAGAGAAGATTGGAGAAGCAGGCGGTGGATCGGTGGGGGAAAATGAACTACAAACCCGACCCAAACTTTTTTCATTTTATACTCTTACCTAAGAAATGACAGCCGTTCGATCGTTACATGTGTAACAAATCTGACCGTCATTTTTTTTTAATAAAATTGGGCCTTTTTTTTATAAACGTGAATAACTTAAAAAAAAATGTAGAGAGCCTTTACTTGGTAAACTTGGGTTCATTAAATCGGGCTTTTTTTTTTT